AATCAAATAGCGATCATCCTTGTTAGAATTATCAGGTAGAATATTCAACAACAAAGTCTCTGGTGTAAATGCTGAAGGTCTCGACCTGTAGGGCGATCTCGATCTATGAGCAGAGTGGGATGAATATCGATCCCAGTCAGAATAGCTCGCCGGAGTCAGCCATGGCAAGGATGGTGGATAAGCCCCATACAGATACCTCATCTGTTGTTGATCCCAAGACAGAGGTGATGGCGGGGGTAAGAAGACTCGCGGGGATCAACTTCTGGACCATGGATGTCTCGGAGACAAAGCGGCAGCATGTCTTTGAGAGGAGCCCGTATAAATCTCAGTTGTCAATATCGACAGATTGACTGTGCAGACGTGGAGGGTGACGCTGCGTGTCACATGAAGCATATCGGTGCCAACGTGGACCGATGTTGGGAGCTTCCAATACCGTCACCGACGGGGAAGGAGACAGAGAAGGCTTTGCATCCATTTGATGACTTAGGAGCTCTACCGTTTCGATGTCGGAGTAAGGACGCTCCATTTGGTGGACAAGGGAGTCCAAGACATGGATGATCGGTATCGGTGGAGGGACTTGGGCCTCCGGTATCGATATAGTCGTTGGAGTGGGAGGCACTTTAGGGGCATCACCCAGTGCAGCCACCGCTATTTTCCCCTTCTTTGCCGCCTTAAGGGGTTTGGAAGAGCCCTTCTTTGCGGACTTTTGCTCCTTACTTGGCCTGGATTTCTTTTTCAATGGCATGGAAGTGGAGGATTGCGCTTTCTAAGCCGGAGGCTTCGGTGTTGGTTGGCCGATATCGGAGGCAGGCCTCGATGCCGGAGCCGTTGAGGTCGATGGTTTCTTGGCATCCATCGCTGAGGAAAGATGTAGAGCCGATTCTAGCAGGGCCACTTTAAGGTGCACGGCTCTTTTTTGGGGGTCTGGTTTGAAAAGCAAGCACAGTGGCGACAAGATTTGGGTTGATGAGACTCTCTGAGACAAAGTATGCAAAAGCCCCACTTCTTCTCCATAAAAACCAAAATGAAGAAGAAAGAAGGGGTGAGGGGGGGTAGCCCGAAGGCCCGACTGAGGTAAAGCGGCAACCTCCCCCTCAGCAGAAAATAAAAGTTTTTTAAAAGTTTTTTGAAAGAACAACGAAGAAAAGGAATAAACTGAGGAAAAAATCCAAAGAGCCGCGAGGCAAAAAGCCAAAACACGCGAACCGATCAGACCAACGAAGAAAAAGGTCTTTCCAATGCGGTGGTAAGAAAGGAACTGGCGGGATGTCTGCACCCTCCCCTCTGGGCATGCGCGGTGGGGTTCCTGCGCATGCCCGAGGTCTGGGCGTGAAAATCCGTTAAAAGAGCTTGCTACAATGCCGATCGATCCAGCGCATGCGCACTAGATCCCATGGGTGTGAAGCACAGAGACCACGTCGAAGATCAATGCCACTTCTGTGTTGTGTCCTGGCATTAAGCAGCAACAGCCCTCACCATTGGTTAAGTGTTAAAAACTGTGTAAGGGTTGTGTATTTTCCACTCTGTTTTACTAACCCTGCAGACCTTCCCCCTGTGCTAAAGTGTATTTCAACAAGTTTTAGTTGTATCATTTATTGACAAAAGCTTAGCAGCTACAAGTTTCCCATTGTCCTGTTCCCAATTTAAAATAGGACCTACTCAAGTATATAATGGGGGATAAACTACATGTGCTACAAACGCATTCAGTATCTACAATATATTTAATCAAGTACTAAGAGCTGCCTAAGCTCATCTGGAGACTATGTTTAGATGTCCGTCACATTCCTTGATGCTACTTGCATGCATCCTTGCAGAGCTTGGATGTATTTGTTAAGCATCACAAAAGAAGAACGGAAATTTCCACTATCATCTCCCCCAATTCTTATGGCAAAGCTGTCAATCTTATGCAGAAGAATGACTTATCCACTCTTTCCTCTGGACACAAAATTTTCAGTTTTTCTTCCAACATACCAGAAGGGAGGGTACTGCTGAGTGTACCTTCCATATGCTACATTTCACAAGAATATTTTGAACGGCATACAGTTTAGGATGAAAACTGGAGTGTGGTTGCCAAAAATGGTATAGAACGGCATTTCTTTCTTTGTGCTGCTGCAGTCAGACGTTTATGAATATTCACCACACACAGTAAGCAAAGAGAAGATGTAGAGTCCAAAACACACAGTCATTTATGGCAAAAGCTAGCAGAGAGCCACTAAATGGTTGGCCTACTGTTCATCCTGACTGAAGCCATTTTCAATAATTCAAAAGTTCTCAGCATGTGCACAAGACCCCACACTAGTCTTTGAAACTGCACACACTGGAAAGAAGGGTACATACCAGTGGCTTTCCTGCAGCTTAGAGACTGTGGAACAGCCATTCCAATCTGCTAGCCTCTCATACATATCCTTAGATGGGTGGAAGCCCCCAGAAAGGATGCAGAAGCTCTTGGGAACTACATTTCCCAAGGGCCTTGGTACCCAGCAGTATTTTTGGCAGTGTCCCCATGCACAAGGATCCTCCAGGAGCCTGAAGAAACTACAGTTCCCAGCAATTTGCACTGCTATACCGTGGTACCTTAATGCCACAGCAGCAGCCCTTCTCACTTACCCTGCTCACAAATGCATTTTGGGGGATTGAAACGGGGGGGGGGAGAGTCACCATGGAGTTGGGAAAGACTCTAGGACTTACCACATTCCCTAGATGAGGAAAAGATCATCTCTAAGGTCTTGTTGCATCCCCAGTTATATGACTGGGAGCACCATAGGAAGTGATGATTAGGACGAGCAACTAAATGAAGGTTTGTTCTGAATCAAACCCAAATTACCTCATTTAAGGCAAGCTTCTCCAAACTCAGCCAAGGGAACTTTGCCCAAACTTTCAACAGTGACTTTCAATTAACCAGAATCTATCGTTTAACACTGTGTTGTCACCCTTCCTTGCTAGTTGTTCTCCTGTGCATGATATGCAGAAATTTAGAAAAGGAAGAATTCTTCGCCACTTTATCATCTCCTGATGAATTCTGTGTTTCAGTCTACTGCTAAAGTAGAGGTGCAAGGCCAGCCAGAAGCCTACCATTCCTCCAGCCTGTGGGTCAATCTGCTTCTATGCCCAGATAATTCAGTTCTAAAACACTACACTGTTCTCAGAATGATGTCTATTGATGGCCTACTGATTTACAGGGCAGCTCCCTCAATTCATACTTAATTTTTAAACTGTTGGTTGATATTGAACAGTCAGAAAACTGCAAACTGTGCTTCCCTCAATTATGAAAAATAACGACTTTTACTGTAGGAAAAGTCTGCCAAGCAGTATATGCATGGGCTGGGGGTGGGGAATTACTTCTAGACACAATTTCAGCTCTATGTGCTTTAACATCCAATATTTCATAAAGCTTATTACACCAGTGAGGTTCATGCTGAACATAAAGCGGCACAAGTACTCCACTTAGTGCAAACAGCATTTATTAGGGGTCTCAAATTTCTGCATGAGGCAGGCAGAGCTTAAAGTCTAAACTTCAAATGTTTATTCAGCTATTTTTATAAAGTGAAGGTTTGGATGAGAACTTACTGTAATGTTCCAGTTGATCTGCGGTATTCTTGTGTGGAGATTCAGACTGAACATAAGCAACAGAACTCCAGTAACAACGGAAGCACTACAGCTGACGAATTCAAAGAAATAAAGGCCTTCGCATGGGGAGCATTCCATGATGGTCTCTATGCAGATGAAGGAAATCAACGCCAAAACCTAAAGGGAGGAATAAGTGGGAAGAAAATAAAAATGGATCTGCAACATTTTGAAGGCAGCCCCAAATAATCCTAAAATGCTCCTGGGCAATTCAGTATTCAAGAATGTACACAGCAACTTCAATGTACAAGATAGTGCATTATTTATAAAAATAAAATACAAGCTTTTTGTATGCCTTGTGTATCGAAGTACATGGGGGGCACCCAATATTCAGTATGTAGTGCCAATGTTATTAGTCCTTGTTTCTGCATCTGAAGTCTAAACAACAAGCATTTTATATCTCCATTCTGTGATATATATATTTTTGGCACTTGTCATTAACATTACCTAACAGTACTATGAACTCTTATACTTTTGTACAGTTCCACTGAATCAAGCTAAGATTCAAGTCCAGTAGCCTCTTAAAGACCAACAAGATTCCCAGGGTATCAGCTTTCAAGAGTTAACTCTCTCTTCATCAGATAGTATCTGACTTTCAAAAGTTGATACGCTGAAAATCTTGTTGGTCTTTAAGGTGCTACTGGACTCGAGTCCTGCTAGTCTCCTGCAGACCAATATGGCTACCCACCTGAAACCTGAATCTAGCTAAGAATAGGAAGAAACTATCAAATTTAGAGAAGGTGAGTATAAAGAGAGTGGTACTCAGTTATGTGCAAAATCCAAGAAAAGGTATTGACCAGGTGCACGGAGTCTGAGGTATCTTCATACCACAATGAAGTCTCCATCCTCATCTCATTTTCCCCATTTGTAGAAAAGCCATCAATTACAGCAGCCTGCTTCATCCGGCTGATTTGAGATGAAAGACTACACATCATGCGCACACTAGAAATCTCATGTAAAATAATTCTAAGAGACATAACCAACACTATGGCTAATTACATTTTTCTCATTGCTACTAAGATGAAAGAAGAGAGACCACAAACATAAGACAACTTGCATTTGATGTTAAGCCAGGTAAAAGATTTACTGAATCTCAACGATGGAGCCAACAGACAGATGCCATTGGCAACACCCCCAGCTCTTTACCAGTACTCCTGGCTTGCCCCAAAGTCGGCAGTAAAAGGCCCCAGTCACATGGCAAAGTTGCCGCGGGAGAGGCACGGGAGTCCCGTGGATTTTCCCGGCGCGATCTCACCCCAACATCTGGGAAGCGCAGTGCTCCCTTGGCGAACCTGTGGCTCCCCGCCTGAAACCGCGGGCCAAGGGCAGGCGTCTGATTGTGTTCCCGGTAGACTTACGTGGCATCCAGCGCCCGCCACTGTTCGTCTCCGCAGGTTGCACAACAGCGCCCAACAGCGCATGCACACAAAGAGCGATTACTAGTGCGATCGCGTGGCGTGGCTTCTGTGCCGCGCTGCAGGATACCCGTCTGATCGGCATTTCCCCTGAACCACGGGACCTCGACCGGGACGTGTGCTCGGGCGGCCGCGCATTAATTTCCTCTGGGGCAATTAGCCACGCCTCCCCCCGCAATATCCGGCCCGTGTGACCAGGGCCAGAATCTGTGAGGCACTAATTAATTTAGATGTCTGTCATTTGCTTCCTCCAGATTAGCATTACTACAAATCAACTCTCTCATTTACACTTTCCAGAACATGAGAGGTCTCTGTATATCTATAGAAGCGCCAGCTATCCAAAGTTCACCTGGTTATTTCTTCTTATGTAAGCCACATACCAAATACAAAATTACTGCAGTTTAATCTGCATCACAAAATTCTGTTCCCCTCAAAGTAGGATCTAGAATAAAGCCACACCTTCAGTCTTAATATAAGAAGAGTCATCAGAGAGATAACACCTAATTATATCTGCAAGATGGCAAACGGATTGTTAGTAGGTAGTTATTTTAAGAATATAATGTCAATGACAATTTTTTCAAGTCCAAGCATTGAGGCTTAGCTGTACAGTACTTGTACTGATCTAACAGATATGCCATATGCAAAGGAGGCAAGGCCTATTGTAAAAGGAGATCCACCTTTGTTCCAATGGCAAAAGTGGCAATACAGCGGGGTTAAAGGGGCCAGGGAGACCTCCGGGCATTTGCCTTCCATTCCCCACCACCACTTCATAGGCTTGTGGGATAGAAATGAACAGGGTTCTCTAGCATTCCCCCTGTGTGTGACATCACTTGGGAACAAAACCAAAGCAGCATCTTCATGTTAGGATGACGCTCTAGGATTCATCCAAAGCTCTTTGGCCCTGATATTATGCCACCACCCAGTTTTGTGCCAGAAATGGGCTTGGGCATACATGCAATGCTGACACATTTGTCCCCACTCTCAAAAAATTTTCTGCCAGCTGTAAATGGGGTGGATCCTATCACTCTACTGAACAAATTTTGAAGACTTCCTCCAGCCTGAGGAGCTTTCCTCCAACTTAAGCAGCTCTTATGTTAGAGGAACAGCCACTTAAGTTGAAGGCTGGCTCCCTGGAGGATGGATGGATCCACCCCAGTTAGACCAACATAAGGTGAGGTGCTCCTTAACTTTCTTTTGCTTCGCAACTCTCCAAATCCCTTCAATATTCCTTTTATCCAAGGCTGGTTTGCCAGTCCCTTTAGAGTCATTAGACGTCCAACAACTGATATTTTCTCCAACTGCAGAAAGATGCTAAAACACATATTTTTGAATGGATCTAGACATCTACTTTATTTCTATAAAACACAAAAGCCATCAGCCCTAGGGCTGTATAAATGAACCAGATCAAGTTTGGCAAGCTGTCTTAACTAACTGCTACTGTCAGCATTTCAGAAAAATGAACAGAATGTGTTTCAAGACATATTAAACCTCAACAGAAGGTTTTGTAGGAAGACGACTGCTACCACATTTTTTCCTTATTAAAGATAAAATTTGCCGTATTTTATTTTTCAATAAATCAAAGAACATAATAACTACAAAATGGTTTGGTTATGAACGTTTTTAAAAACAGCTTTACTGTTTATCTGAAAAGGCCCACAAAAAGACTTACTGTGTGGGTCAATGAAATAATTACAAATGATTTTGGAAAAACCACAGAATAGTCAACATTTTTCCTCCTTAGAAATGCCCACAATATTTTAGTAAGACTGTCACACTACCAGGAACTATTTCCTGATGGCTTAAAACTACTGGACAGCATAAACAATAGCCATGTACAGTACAGAGAAGGAAAAAAATTGCTTCTACGCCTTAGTAAAATATATATATAAAGCTGGGGGGTTTTAAAAGTCTTTCTTGCATTTAGAGTTACTGGTTTTTTTCTTGGCCAACTCAGAGTTTGAATCTCAGTAGGTCCCATTCCTTGTAAAGTGAGTTTATTTCCCACATCTAAAACAGGTGGCATAAATATGGCTGTTTTCAATAATATGGCTACAGTGCAGCTCTACTCCTCTAAGAGGAAACTATGTTTTTGTCAGAGCAAAAGGAGGATTAATTTCCCATCTGGACTCATGTCACTAAGACTGGATTTACACATTCCATGTAGGCATGAAAAATGCTTTTTAACGGAACCCTAAGAGTTCCCCCTCACACACTCAGGGGGCCAAAAAAAAGGATTTAATTGCAGTTAATACCTATAAGACCTTTAGAGATATCACCCTGCTGCCAAAAAGCACCTCCGTGTGATGGGGAATTCCATGTTACAACGAAAGCATGGGATTGGATACAATGATTCCCTTCCAGTGGCTGCAAAGCAAGACATCTTTTATCCAAGAAAGACTCCAGATTTAGCAGAAGAAAGTCACTGGATCCAACTTATGGACTTTACCAAGAGATTTAGAAAGGAAATCAGACACACTGACTATGGCTTTGGGCATGACCCAGCCATGTTTTGTGGTAAAATTACATCCCACCCCAACATGAATTGCAGTGGATTACAATGTGATCCCACTGTAAGAAATGAAACAAATAAGGACTTCTGGCAGAAAATCTTAAAAGGCATCCAGAAACACTTTGTTTTATATTAAATTAGAAATATATTGCTTGAAGCTGAATGATTAAGCATGCTTATACTATAAGACTAAGCTATAGGAAAGAGGAACCACAACCAGACAACATGCGATGGCCAATTTAGAGTGAAAGTTGGTAGTTGGCTAAAAAGTGGAAGCTTTGCAAGACAATAGACATCTGCGATGTTATGAATAGATATCCAGAAAAAGTACCTAATGCTTTTCAACAAAATTATCTGTCAAGTGAAACATATTATACTGCTTACTCATACATATGTTTGTTCTTACTTATTTGCTTTTTGCTAACCATACAGAAAAATTAGAAGTTATTCTAGACAAATAAAAGTATTGTGAAAATGATGGCTAAGCACCCGAAGATAGAAAATCTTGTGGTTTGAAGATCCTGTTGACCGAAGGGCCTGTTATGAGATGTGGCCCCAGTTGCTCAAGACTGAAACTTGTGGTAGACAGAGAGTAGATGAAAAGTTATTACTTTTTTTTAGGAATAAATAAACATTGAGTAGGTGGGCTATGGGGGGTCTTGAGGGAGTGGGCTTCAAGAAAAAGCAGAAGAACCAATATGGGTGTTATGCCACGGGGTGTAGTTAAGCGGTCGTGATTGGAGAATGTACATTTGGGTTACCAGCCAATTGTGGCCAAATTAGGGCGTTTCTTATTTTCCATACCTCTTCGGTGGTAGTATATCTAGGCTGATTAACTGAATCAAAGGTGTGTTCAGTTCTTTTGAGCTGTGCACCCACTCTTGAAAGAAGTGTATTCAATAAAAGACTATTCTGCTTCATTGAAAAGGTCTGTCTCCAGAAATTCTTTATTTGGTAAGAACAAATTGCATTTCTATCACCACTATGACACACCTAGGAAGGTTAGCAGTACTGTGTTCTCTGAAATATATCCTACATCCAGCATAACTAGTTCAGAGCAAAAATAATAAGTGATCAAAATGACTGGAGATATCAAGTCATACTGAAACTCTCTATGGAAGAATATAAGAATGAACACCCATCAAGCAAGAACTAAAATCCTAATTGAAAATGGATAATAATACCCGGCCTACACTAAGGTTGGACGAGAGAGAGAGGAAGAGAGAAAGAAAGAGGCTGATTTGTCAGACCCAGCCAGAGAAATGGGCAGATTTCCAGAGACATTTAAAGCTGTAGCAGCCAACACGTTACGGCATTTAACACAAAGCAAAGCAAATGAAAACTGAACATAATAGCCATGATCCAATGAGTTATTCCAGGCTCACAGAGTCTGTGTTCAACCAGCAAAATATATGTATCCTTCAAAAGTAGACATCCATGCCATATCCCTATATCTTAACAGGCAAGTCAGTCCAACTACAGCTATTCTGATAGCCCCAGAATTACAGAAAAATCTTTAACAATCCTAATTTCAGTATAAGTAACCCAACCTCTCAAAAAGTTAACAGTAATGTTTGAATATGCACATTACCCCTCCCCCCCAAAATGCCAGGGTTCAGGCATCATTTAGGTTTCTGCAGCAGCCTTAATAGCCCAGTCTAGCCTGATCTCATTCAGAAGCTAAGTGGGTTCAGCCATGGTCAGTAGTTGGATGGGACCAAGGAAGGCTGGGGTTGCTATGCAGATTCAGGCAGTGATAAAGCATTGCTCTCTTGCCTTGAAAACCCCATGAGGTGGAATTTCATGGTTGTGACTCAACGGCACACTTTTACCCTTAGTAACCCAAAAGAGCATGCACAAAATGCAGTGGCCAGCAGAAAGCAGCATTCATGGCCACCAGAAAAAAGTGGCAGGGTGGGAAGAAAGCTGTGATAAGAAAGTAGATAAACCAGGTCAAAACGGCGGGATGGACTGAAAGCAAGCCAAAACCAGCAGTGATGAAGATTTG